GGGACTCCAGGATCATGACCTGAGCCGAAGGCAGTCGCTTAACCAACTGAGCCACCCAGGCGCCCCTAGAATCTTTTTTATATGTTGTTGAATTTGGTTTGTTAATATTTTGCTGAAGTTTTATACTCACGTCCATGAGGGATATTTGCAGTCTTCTTTTCACATGTCAGGGTAACACTTGTCTCAAAGAATGAGTTAGCAAGTGTTTCCTCCTGTATTTTCTGGAAGTGCATGGAAAATACTGGCATTATTTCTTCTTTAAATATTCAGTCAGATTTATCAGCAAAACCCCATGGACCTTGGCTTCTCCCTATGGCAAAATTTTTATTTACCACTCCAATTTCTTATTATAAGCCTCTTCAGATTTTCTGTTTTTTTTTTTCTTGAGTTGATTATGTATCTCTCTTAGCATTTAGTTTGTGTTGAGGAATGTATCTTTCTAAAAATTGCATCCTCCTAGACATTTGCCTGTTTCATGTAAGTTGCCTATTTTGTTTGGCTAAAGTTCATAATATGTTCTTACAATCCTTTTAATTTCTATAGCGTCAACAATGATGGCCCTTTTTTCTTCCTGATTTTGATAATTTGTGTCTTCAGAGAGCTAGCTTTTAGCTTCCTTGATTTTATCTATTGTTTTTCTATTTCAATATTGATTTTTTATTTTGATTTTTGCTCTGGTGTTTTATATTCTTCCTTCTGACTGCTTAGATTTTATTTTGCTCTTCTCATTTCTTAAGGTAGAAGCTTAGGTTCTTTTTACGTTTTAGTGTAACTTTTTATTCCTCTGTTGATTTTTTTTTTTTTTTTTACTATATATATTGTTGATTATTTTCCTAGTAGTTGTTTTAGGGACTTGAAAAGGAAAAAGAATTCTGATTCTCCTCTCCACTCTTTCAGTACTTCTGACAGCAGCTGTGTGGATGTTTTCCCCACACCAAGCAATTCTCCAGTTCTCTGCAGACATCAACTTGGTGTCCTATAATTCAGTTCAATTCTGACACTATCTCCTTGGGTTTGGCATTTACTTCACAGGTTAAGGGCTCAGTCACACAAGATTGTACCCCTCCACTCCCACCCCCTCACACGCTTCAGATACCAATGGTGAATCTAAGTTGTTACCTCTGCTTCTGACTGATTGGCTACAAATTGGAGATTCCCATGAGCCCCTCCTCGGGTTAAATAACTTGCTGGAACAGGCTCACAGAACTCAGGAAACCAGTTTACTTACTAGGTTATCAATTTATTATACACGGATTACAACTCAGGAACAGCCTGATGGTGGTATGGGGGAAGGAAGGCCAAGCTTCCATGACCTCTCCAGGAAGGAGGGTGGCCTTCTCCATGCATTCACCCATCAAGAAGCTCTCTGAACCCCAGACTTTAGGGACTTTTATTCAGGCTTCATGATAGAGGCACAGTTGATTAAATCATTGGCTTTTGATGATTAACTCAACCCTCAGTCTCTTTCCCCTCCCTGGAGATCAGGGGGTTGGACTTGATAATTCCAACCCTCTAATCACAAGACTGATTCCCCTGGCAAGTAACCCTCACCCCCACGTTACCCAGAAACCCTCAGCCACTGGTCATCTCATTAACATACAAAAAGACACACTACTTCTGGGATTCCAAGGGTTTTAGGAGCTGTGTACCACGAAATGGGGACAGAGACTACATATATATATATATATATATATGTCTTACTATGTCATAGGGCTATAATATGCATCTCAACTAATTGCACCCTACTTCGATATAATACTAATAATTCCAAAAGATATAAAAAGATTGCTCTAATAGATCTGTTTTTCCTTTCCCATCCTTTGTGATATCGTCACATATATCGCATCTATATATAAATGCAATAATACATTGTTATAGCTAATTGTCTTATCCAATCTCATACCTTCTAAAGAGATTAAGAGAAGATATGGAAAAGTATATTCATAGAATATTTTAAACCAAGCCTACATATTTACCATTCCGGTGCTCTTTATTGTTTCTTAGGAATCTGAACTATTATTACCACGTACCCTCATTTCCTTTCAGCATGAAGAACTTCCTTAGTATTTTTGGTAGGACAGCTCTGCTAACAACAAATTCCCTCAGGCTTTATTTAGCACAATGGCTTTATTTTTCCTTTATCTTTGAAGAATAGTTTTGCTACGTTCTTGGTTGAGAAGTGTGTTATCCTGTCAACACTTTCTTCACTCTCTAATGAGAAGTCAATTGCTAATCTATTGGAGTTACCCTGTAAGTAATGCATCATTTTTCTCGTACTGCTTTCAAGATTTTCTATTTGTCTCCGTCTGCCACCAGTTTGCTACAATGTATCTCAATGTTCTCAATGCGAAGCACTCTGGGATTATCCTATTTGGGATTTGTTGAGTTCCTTGGGTGGGCAAGGTAATGTTTATCAAGTTTGGAAAGTTTTCATCCTTTATTTCTGCCAAAAGATTTTTCATTTGTTTGTTTCTCTCTTCTGGTTTGTGAATGAATGATGGTGTGTACTTGATGTCCCACTTGTTTCTGAGGTTCTAGCAATTTTTCTTCAGTTTTTTCCTGTCCGTTCTTCATATCAAATAATTTATATTGATAAATTCTAGTTCACTTATCTTTTCTTCTGTCATCTCATATTTGCTATTAAGCTCTTCTAGTGAATTTCTCGTGTCAGTTGTGATTTTCGGCTCTAGAACATCCAATCCATTTTTAACAATTACTTCTCTTCACTGAGGTTCTCTATATGTTAAGTCATTATCATCACACTTTTCTTTAATTCTTTAAATGTGATTGTATTCGTTCTTAGAACATCTTCACAACCACTGCTTTGAAGTCCTTGTTTATTAACTACAACATCTGGGAACACAGAACGGCAGGGTTTTTTTGTTTTTTTTTTTAATTTATTTTCTTAAAAATTTTTAAATTTTTCTTGTTTTTTTAATCTTATTTTATTTTATTATGTTAGTCACCATACAACACATCATTAGTTTTTGATGTAGTGTTCCATGATTCATTCAGAATGGCAGTTTTGATTGGGCTTTTTTCCCTTAGTATGAGTGATATTTTCATGTACACACATCCTATGATTTTTTTATTGAATACTGGATGTGTTTTGATACATTGTGGTAATTCTGGATTCTAGCCTCACCTCCCCACCCCAAAGTTGTTTTTGTTTGTTTGTTGGCTCACTGAAAACTAGACAGGACCAAATCAGTACAGTCTGTCTCTCTTGCAATGTGTGGCTATTGGGTCTGCTCCGTTTTTTTTTTTTTTTTTTTGTCCTTGATTTTAAGTCTGGCTCTCAAGATGTTGCCCCTGTGGTTATATAACTTAATGTCCAGCCAAATATTGATCAGAGTGTGTGCTTAGATGCTTCAGGGAGTAAGAATTTCAGTCTCTGCTGATATGTTCTTTTCCTGGCTTCAGGTGGTTCTCTTCCCTGCATGCAGAGTTGAGGGGAACCTTCTACAGATCTCCAGAGTTCTCTCTCTGTATGTAGCTCTCTCTCTGGTACGCTCTTCTATTACTCTACCTTGTAAACGTAAGACTATTTGGCCTTCATGGACTCCCACATCTATTCCTTAACGTAGATCAACTGCCTGGCTTTGCTTGACCTCTGCTTTCTTGTGCTGTGAACTGCACACTCTGAGGGCATTAGCCTGGGGCAGTTGCGGGGCTCATTTGGTCTGTTTTCTGTCACTGTAGGCTCACTGTTTTCATCGTTTGTTTTCATTGCTCTGCTGTCTGTAAAACCGTGGTTTAATACACATTTGTCCAGCTTGTTAGTTGTTTCAGGTGGGAAGGTAGGTACACGCCTTGTCATTCCACTTTGTATCTCACACGAGCGTGTCCGTGTCCATGTAAGTCATTCACGGGAAGTTTTGACTGCTTTGATTTGAGTCAGTCCATTTCCTGTATGTGTGTTGGAGGGGAGTGTGAGACCATATCAGAGGTTGAAGAAACCATTTTAATGCATTGTCTTCATCTCTATCTGAATGTACTAAAAGCAAATTTATTGGCGAAAAATTCTTGAGTAATTTCTCAGCCAAAAATTCCTTTGTCCGTTGCTGCAAGAGTGTGTTCTCTGATAGTCTCAGAAGATGAGTCACTTGATTAAATAGGATAGAATCTGCACAGGTGCCCAGAATCCTAGAACATTTCATAAATCATGGCCCAAATATGAGCACAGCAAAGAACAAACTCATAAAATGAGTTTTTATCTTCAGGGAGAAGTTGTTGAAGTTACATTCGTAGGCGCTAACCCAAAGAATTCAGCAGAAAACCAGGTAAGCATCAATGATTCTTTTGACAGATTTAAATCCACTTTTTAGTCTTCATTTGAATAGCCTTATAGAGGTTAAGGACATAATGATAAAATGTTCCAACTTGCTTTTCATCTTATTTTTTAGGTGTGGGGAAATTTTCAGTAGGAAGAGTAATGTGGAATTCAGTCTGGGGGGAAAAAAGCACAGGAAACATTTAACCGGGTCTGCTTAGGATCACATATTGCACAAAGCATAGAGAGCTACATGTCCCTTGAGAAGATACAAATTTGAATACAATCCCATTTATGTATTCCAATTTAGAAACTCTACTAAACTGGGTAAAATAACCAAAGGGCCAAGAATGAAGTATATCTTTGGTTCCTTCCTACCCCCATTCTGGCTCCTCTCTTACTCCAGCACTGTAGCCTCTGGTCCTACCTCCAGAGTGATCATGGGACCCTGGGGGGATGTTCCACTGGCTTGGGGCCCTGGCCCAGGTGCTTTACTTTATCTTGCCTTTGCCATTTCCTGACTCTTTACTGCTGGCACTAATGGGATATTTATTTATTAATCTTGAAAAATGACACAAGAAATACATGTTCAATGTAAAAACAGACCATATAGAAGTGCTTAAAGTGGAATGTGAAAGTACCTCTCTGTCCATAAACCTTTTTAGAGGTAATAATTGTTCAGAGTGTGTTATATATCATTTCATATATTGTTTTGATCATATATAAAGTATACATATGTAATGTAGCTATTAATAAAATTAATTAATTTTACTCCTCTGTCACTCCTTTAGAATGTTCTTATAACAGGGACACCTGGGTGGCTCAGTCAGTTAAGCATCCAACTCTTGATTTCAGCTCTGGTCGTGATCATGAGGGTTGTGAGATCGTGAGGGTCGTGAGATCGTGAGGGTCGTGAGATCAAACCCCGCATCAGACTCCATGCTGAGCGTGGAGTCTGCTCAAGATTCTCTCTTTTCCTCCCCCTCAGCCCCTCCTCTCTCTCTAAAAAAATAAAAAAGAATGTTCTTATAACTACACAAGCAATAACTAGGCATATTCTAGTTGTAAAAATTCAAACAATAAAGAAATATGTAGGAGAAAGAGTAAGTATACAAAAATGATTTCAAGGTCAGATTTTTTAGTGTGGCTGAGGATGCATTTACTGTATGCATGAGCCATTCTTCCCAGGGACCATTGTTACTTATAACCCCAAACACCGTTCTCCCAAATGAACCTTCCATTTCTGTTCGTTGAAATATCATTAGTGCTCTGATACAATTGTGGCAATATGACATTGTCAAATATGACACTGGGGAAAAATGTTCTACTGCTTGGAAAGTCAACATGCACCTGTTGGAAATAATTTCTCTAGGCAGTCAAACTATGCCATAATATTTGCATGTTTATAGCATTGTTTTCTGAAGCTATCAAAGCGTTATGGCAAAACTGCAGGATTAGCTGTCCTTTGATGTCCTTAGGCTGGAGAAATACCATCCTCGTTACTGCCTTGCAGAAACAGGAGAACAAAATGCTTAAAGCACTGTAACGAGAGTAGAATTGATTTCTAATAGTGCTCTGGGACTTGGCATACAATTTCCACTCCCTTTTATTGTTGGTAATCCTTACCACTATTTATCGAAGATGCCTACTCTTTGTAGGCACCTGGTGAAGCGCTTTACATACATTATTACATCAATCTCATTTAATTCTCCCTACTATCCATTGGCTTACATTTTATTGTCCCCATTTTACAGATGAGAAAACCAAGCCTAGAAAGCTTAAGTAACTTGTATTAACTAATTGTGCATCAGGTAGAGATTAGGGTTGGGAGGCGGGAAAGGATAGTCACATAGTTCACAAACACAGTGGCCTAGACTTGTTCTCTGGTCTACACTCTAGACCTGTCCCTGAGGGTTCACCCAATCTCCTACTCCATCTACCGCCACTCTGATGTCACTCTGCCCTAAATGGCTGGAAACCCTTCTCTTTACAAGTCACCATCATCATGAAAACTTTATTGAATATAACCTATCCGTTGAGTAGAGTTTTAAATAATCCCATGGCCCAGGTGTAAGTGAGTGATCCATTCAGCAGAGTTTTAACTGAACACCTGTAAGTGACAGGTATAAAGGGCTGTAATGGATAAAAGTGAATCAGACACAAGTCCTGCCCGTAAGAGCCCACAATCTAAAGATTTTTGAGGAAAATTGGAGATTTCTGGCCTCTGTGTCTTTTAATTTGTTATATTATTCAAATCTGTGCTTTATTTGACACGGAATTCTTAGTCTGAATTGAATTATTATAGCAATTTTCCAATGGGAAAAATAAAACCTGCTTTTGATGTGCTTTCTAGGAATCCATTATGACAAAATATAGGGATTACTTTTAGCACCCTAGGGACAGGGAAGATTTATGCATCCTTTTCAATTCTTTCACTTGGGAGGTATATTTACTCATAATTCATTTACTCAGAGAAGGAAAGATGAAGAAACTCTCTCATTTTCCCTCCCAAGTCTTGAGGTGACTAGAGAAAGTCTTGGAATATAGATCAATAAACATGTCATGAAAAGGTTTGGCTTATGCCTTTTTAAACATCTCAAGTTTTATTCTATCTCTTCTCTGCCCCCGTTTGTAAAATTTGCTATCAGCTCCAAAATTATGATCATTCAGTTTTCTAAAAAAAAAAAAAAAAGTCATGGTGTGTAATAGCCTGGATAAATTAGCATTCTGAAGACATTGCCTAGAATGTAAAGAGAAGCACCTAAGAATTTGGATGAAATTCTAATATATTTTCACACAAGGTATTGGCAGGTTGGCCTATAGTCCACAAGGGACGTATTTGCAGACAAGTTCCTTCTATGACTGTGCAGGGTCTCATCAGTTATATTAATTGCATTTCAGACCCATCAGACCTTCCTCACTGTCGAGAAATACGCAGCTGCATCAGCAACATGGCAAATAGTGCATAATGATGCCTCCTGGGAGACTCGGTGAGCATGTCTGTTGGATATTTTGTCTTTCAAGCCTTGACAACAGTTGGTTAGTAATGCAGGGAAGACAAATGGGAAGCCTGGCTCAATGCATGATATTAATGATAGCAAATTCCCAAGGAGACTTCTGGCCATATTTAGTTGATTTATTAGACTTCATTTTGATTCTGTTTTTCTGCAAAACAATGTGGTGTGCGCTTCTGGAAGATTAGGTGCTAATGAGGTTATGGCCTCCATTTTTGTAAACATCTGTTAGTTTTGCTTTCTTCTATGGCTGCAGACATTACCCCTAAAGACTGGCTAGCCTTCCTGCAAACTGGATGAAAGACATGCTGGTGTGGAGGTGTTGCGATCGCTCTGTAGAGCCTGATGCTCCTTCTGGGAAAATCACGAGTCTATACGCAAAATATATCATGCATGTACACGTTGATGGTTCTTCATTTGAACCAAAAGCTTATTTGGAAGATTTGAAAATGTGTCCAAAATAAGAAAATGTTTCTGCTCCCAAGCGTATAGCATTTCACACCGCACAACAAGCGGGCAAAGGTTTTGCCAATTTGTGTCTACTTTGGATCGTCTTAAACTAAGTGATGGGTTGCGTGTGGGTTTGCTTCCCATGGCTAACTGAAAATCGAAGTTTGACCATAGTGTGGCCCCTTTGATAATCACACATAAATATGGGCATACATTTTCCTCTGATCTTTAGGACTCTAGGGCATAGGTCATTTTTAAACAAATAATAAATTTATATTTATTGTTAAAACAAGATTATACAGATAATAGAAAACTATGATTTTTTTTTTAAAGCCCCAAATCAGAATAGCAGTGAACACGGAGGACATGGATAGGCCTCCGTCCTGTTCACCAGCAGGAGTATCTCTGTCATGAATACCCTCTCTGCCCAGAGCACTGACTCTCTACACCACTGGGGACATCAGTCAGTTAGCCCCTTGTATCTCACTTACCTAGCGGAGTATCCGAACTCCTTGTGGTGGTCTGCAAGGACTGCTGTGAGCTGACTCTATTTCTGTAAACTCAAGCACTGTGCCACACCTCACCCCACTCTGATCCTACCAGAATGTTCTGTTCCTCCGCTGCACCTTGTGCTTTCCCACTGAAGCCACTTTGCATCTCTTTTCCTCCATTCAGGAAATCTTTCCTCTGAGCATGTGTGGGTTCCATTTAAATAACATCTCCCTAGAGATACCTCTGCCTCACTTGGTTCATTTCACTTAGCACTTTTAAGATCATTTGTCGATTTCTTGTTTATTACCTTTCTTCCCACCCTGCCCCAGGGGGGCATACGCTCCATGGAACCTTGGGCCATGTCTGTCTTGCTCACTACCGTATCCTCAGACCTCTAGAATAGAGTCTGGCATGGGCACTCATTAAATACATACTTTTAACAAATGAATCTAGATGGGAGTTTCAGTATCAGTCGACACAGAGGATGACAAGGGCAAAAGGAATGTTCTAGCAGTTCTTACGCAAGAGACATCCTGTATTCTGAGTATCAGGTGAGGGAGGCTCCCCGGGGTGGATAGTGTTTGGTAGTTAGAAAGGTAGAACAAGTAAAACTATTTCTACAAATGGCTATTTCCTAAAGGATCTCTTCTAGAAAGTGAATATTATTTGTGAACAATGGTACACCTATTTATGTATAGAATTATTGAATGTTAGTTCTGGGAAAGTTTAAAGAGATCGTGGACTCTGTTTTGTTCATTGCTGCACTCCCAATGTCCAGGATAGTGCCTCGGTTAGGGTAGGTACTCCCTGAATACTCATTCATTTTTCTAATCACACATTTTTAAGAGTAAAACTTGGCTGGCTTGTTTGTTTTCTACCAACAGTTTCTATTGGCACAAGGGACTGCTGGGTCACAGCAATGCCACCATCCAATGGTATATTCCAGACACTGCCCAGCCTGGAAGCTACAGAATAAGATACTTTGGACACAATCAGAAGCAGGACTTTCTCAAGCCGGTCGTCATCCTTCCATTTGAAAGCACTTCCTCTACCTTTGAAGTAGTATGAAGAGTTGAAGTTCATTGAAACTTCATGAAGAGTTGATAGTTCATTGAAAGAGCGGCCACACTCTATAATTTATAAAAATGATTTCACATGAATGTAAACTGTGATGATGACTTCAATAATTGTCCCTGTTGGGGGACAGATAGTTTACTGTGAGTGGGACAGAGGGGTGTGTGTGTATGTGGGTCCCATTCGCCTTGCTCTAGGAGCTTCGCACCCCTGATGGTCTAGACCCTAATGCATGACTTCCCTCAGGGCCTTGCGGCTATTTGAAGGAACACATCCCCTCAATATGAAGCCTCTGAAAAGTGAGTGAGTGAGAGTGCTTGGAGATATGTGAACAATGGTACACCTATTTATGTATAGAATTATTGAATGTTAGTTCTGGGAAAGTTTAAAGAGATCGCAGACTTTGATTCTTTCTTTTGCAGATGGGAACAATGAAGTTTCGTGGATTTGAGATTAACAAAGGCTCCAGGACCTCCCCTTACCCCCTGCCCCCATCACACTTAAATATATATTATATAAACACTGACCATAAATGTATATGCCCAATTAGAGAAAATTAGTGTGGAGATTAGCATGCTGACTATTCTATCTTGAGCATAGCCTCTCAAAGCCATTACCCTGGAGTCGATGTACCTGATCCAGAGCTGTTAATGCTGGTAAATTATTTCTGGCATTGCCTTCTGAGGCCAATCACAAGAAAGTCAGACCTGTAATATTTTGATCATGCCTTGTGTTCCCTAACTGCCCTTATCCCCCCGAATTGTGTCTCCTATTCCCCAAGACTGGTTCTAAGTGATTTTGACTGTTTTCACTAATCACATTCACCCCCAAAACACAAGCTTTGCCATTAGTCTAGATATTTAAAACAAAAGTGTTACTGGATTGGAAGGGGGTCCTCGAAGGGTAAGCTCTAAATTCATTTATCTGTTCTTTTATCACTCACTCATGGACTCGTTCAATCACAGAATATTTATTAAAACCTACATACCCAGTATTGTACTGGTGCCTGGCCTTGACAATTATTGTGATCATATTTGGGATGAATGTGTAAGTGTCAAAAGGGGACTATTTTGAAGGAGAAAATTCAGTATATAAATTCAGTATATAAATTCTGGAAGACATTTAAAAAGCAGTAATCTCCGAGTCCTATCTTAAATATAATCGGGGTTGGGTGCTTTAATTTTGGGGGAAAGAGGCTCCAGACCATTTGGAAAAAGCTGTTTTCGTAGTTATTTTTTGGGCATTATGAAATACCCAGCCCGGTGTCTGGAAGAATGAGATATGACAGTTTGACTTTGATTGCTCAGAAGATACCAATTCCATTTAAAATTATCCAAGTTAATGAGGTGCTAGCTCCCAGGCTACCCAGTAAATTTCCAAAAGCCAAGTCATGCTTTTTTATGTACATAAAAGCTTTCACATTTTAGGGGAAAAAAATCACCCTTTATTTCATAAACAAACTTTAAGGCTTGAAAATAGTAATGATATTAAGAACAATAATCCTAGTGCTCACTTATGTATGACTAAACACGCTATATCGCATTGGAATGAACCTGGGACACTCTTTGAAGGACCAGGGTTCTGGTTCTCTGGGAGTTCACTGCTGGAGAATTAGCTAATCGGGATTCCAAAGAGTAGTGATCATTTTCCCTAAAGACGTACAATGTTTAGTGTTAACAGTTCAGAGGCTTCCAGGAGCAGGGAATTCTGAAAGTAGTTGACCTTAGGCAGATAAATGACATTAGAATGGATGATCAGATTTTAAAAAGTTTTTCTCATGATTCAGAGGAGCTTTTGAATTATTTTTCACTACCTCCATGCCTCCCACTGAGGCTCTCCAGTGGGTATGTGATTTCCTGTCGGTTACTTGCAACTCTGCCAAGCCAGACACGGCATTGCCTTGGTGCTGAGCCTTCTGCACCTGCCCTCAGTCCACCAGTACTCCTGGCCCCAAATGACCCACAGAAACCTGTTTGCTCACTCGCTGCCGTCTCTTCCAACCCACACAGTTCCATTTCTGTGGTTTGTATGGGAAAATAAGACCAGATCCATAGCTATTCACTCCTGCATTAGCAACACCACAAAGAGGCAGAACTGACCTGTGAATATACAAACCTACATCCCAGCTGTGTTTGTAGCCTGCTGCTGGGAGTGGTTCTTTGGAGCCAAACTGTGTGGCGAAAGCTCCCGAAATTGCTGGAGAACACGGGGAAAAAGGAGTGTGGTTGGTGGGAGAAGGCGTCTGCAGGAGATCTTGTGTCTCGTGTCAAAGTGTCTGTGTTCTGTTTGTTGTCATCTGTCCACTCTGGTTTGAAGGATGTTGTGACTTTCTCAGAAAGTACCGAATGATCCCTCTATATTTTTCAATGAGTATTATATAAAATTGCAAATATGCAATATCATATTTAATAATAAATTAATAGGTACCATTGGGAAAGTATGTTCTGTTGAGAAGGGATGCAGGCAAATGATGACTTTTTTTCCTAAGAGAAGGAATGAATGGTGCTGGATTCCATGTGGGTCAGGCTGGGAAGTGATGTGAATGGCGTCTGTAAGTAACCACCCAAACATAAGGGGTCCCCTTCATCGGTTCCTTCTGGCCCTCCAAAAATTTATTGCTGGAAAATACATACGGTTTTTGAGCATTTTTTACTACTAGGGCAAATGAGAATTTCCTAGGCAGGTAGTTATCTGTAAAATTGTTTCATGAGCCAATTCTGAACAAAGACATGAAGAAGGAACATGCTTGTGAATGTCCTTCTCCGATTTACCCTCTCAGGCTTCTCCTCCAATGTAGGCAAACACACTGTCTTTCTTTAATAGAAGCACATGGATTTCATCTTTAGCCAAAAGATTTCATCATTAGATGATCCTTTCATGTCTTTAGTTCTTCCAATAATGATTTTTGCTCCTGGGTATCCTAATCCCACCTGCCAGCTTATACTGGCTTTGGAATATCATGATGCCACAGAGGAAACTTTGCATGTTTCTTACATGATTAGTTAGACTGTGTTCACCTGTAAGTAACAAAATATTCCTGATCAACAGGGGTCCAAATGCTAAAGACACTAACAATCACACATAGCAGTAAATCCTAAGGTGACAAAGTCAGGTTTCCCACAACCATTCCATGATGTCACTGGCTTTTTTTTTCTTAACATACTAACTTTAATTGTCAGGCTTGTCACCTCAGTCTAAAGAGAGCTACTTCATGTCTTCCAGCAGCAAGAAGGAAGAGGAGAGTTCACAGAATCCCTTTTTAGAAGGTAAAAAATATTTATTAGAAACCCAAGTGGAACCCCCCTTACATTTCCTTGTCTACAATTGGGTCACATAGCTGCAAGGGAGCCTGAGAAACAGAATATTTGGCATTTTCTGCCTCTGGACGGGGAGTAAGGTTCTGATCAGCAGGGAGAAAGAGGTGGTGCAAGTAGCTCTTTGGTAAGAGGGTCAACAGACTCTTTGTGACCAGCATTCCCGTTACCATGATAGGCAAGCGATACTAACTGCAGAGCCAACTTAACAGCTCTTTGATATAATCGGCACTCCTTTTATCTTAGCCAATCTGTTTCAGGAAAGAACACATCTTGGAACATTGATGGCAACAGGACTTGCTCTCTAAACTGCAAAATCTATGTGTTCATTCAGCAAATTTACACGGAGCACCTAAATACTTTGTGGGCACTGTGCTACCCCCTAAGGATACAGTAATGATCAAGGCAGCAAGTTCTTGCCATCAAGGAACTTCGAGTCTTAATGGAAGAAGCAGACAGGTAGACAGGCCATTCTGTACAGAGTGACCCAGACTGCAGCTGTTTAGGCTGTTAAAGATGGCACCTTATAGGGTTTGGGGGATATTACAGGAGGCTTCCTGGGGGGAAATAACATCTAAGCTAAGACCCAAAGGATATTAGCTAGAAGAAAGGTAATGGGGTGTGTGTGTGTGTGTGTGTGTGTGTGTGTGTGTGTGTGTGTCTAAATGCATGGATGCAGGATGACTACACTTTTTATGTAGGGGGAATATCAGATAGTTTAATCAAGCCTGTAGTTACAGTGCAAGGGAAGAATGATGGTCAGAGATGGAGCCCTGAACTTCACCTTCATAAATAACAATTTGGTGTTATATTCATATTAGCATTTCCCCCCTTAAGACCCTTCACTTATAACATGAATGCACTTGAATGTATTTTCCCTTTGCTAAACTAATAAGACACATCTTTTAGAACTAAGGAAACTGATTTTGGTTCCCAGTCTCCAGTGACATTGGGTATCAACTTTCTGTCTTCATAGGCTGTAACCATTTCTTGGAATTGGATTTATTAAGACTTCTTTTGCTTCTGTCTATCTCATGTTTCCAAATCTTGATTTTCTTTTGCTTTTTTCATGCCTACTAAGTGGGTGAGTATAGCCCATAAAGACCACTCTCTCCCTTTAGATGGAGTCCAGAGTTCCAAGCTACATCTTATAAGTACTTATTACTACTAAAAAACTGACCCACCCACATATACTTCAAAGTTACTTTGGTCTGCATAATTTCAAGTTATCAGAGACTGAGCCTCTGTTCATTTTTTTTTTTTTTTGGCTGTGTTTTAGGATAATGAGCAATCAGAAACCTGGGATATTGGCTTAATACTAACAGAAGAAAACAAACCTGCCACCCCACTCTCTGAATCCCCACTCTCAGGAAAGATTGACATGACCATATTCCCTGCTCTCTTGGAGCTTCCTTATTCTATACAAGACCAGTGTAAGCCAATGAATATCAGAACTTAACATCCCAGCCATTGTAACTTTGGAAAAAAGTCCAACATGGACCCACAACATCCTAAGTGGAATTTCAATAAACTGGCTGGTATGATTTTATAAAGTTGGCACCACCACAATGAGGAGAGTATGTACTTTGAATGTCTTTCTGAAGCTGTGGATGTTGTGCTGACCAATTGCCACTCTTTTATCAGTTTCTCTTAGCCTCAAGTCCACAGATGTAAACTATCTCAGGGAGACTAAGGGGTAGCTTTTAACCATGGGACATAAGTGAGAAGTTGTATAATGTGAAAGAAAGAACCTAGGTTTTTAAAGTCTGGTCAACTTGGATTGAATTATGTCTGTGACCTTGGGAGGGTTAATGAGCATCCCTGGTTTATAAAATGGTATAACAATAATGCCCTTCTATGATTGATATGGGGTTGTAGAATTTAATGGTTAAGAGAGAAAGCTCATTGGAAAACTAATAGGAAACAAATTCTGGAGACCAGTTGGTTCAAATCTTAGTTCTACCATTTATCCAATCTCCAACCCTGAGTAATTTACTCAGTTTCTTAAAGCTTCAGTTTCTTAATGCATCTCTATTTCCTAATATATGAATGAGAACAACGAAAGCACTTACATTATTAGTTTGTGAGATTAGAGTAAGGTAGAGTTGTTGGCAGAGGGTCTGGCATATGGAATATGCTTAATTTATTTAGTTAGCTGTTAATTAACTTAGCTGTCACTGAGTATTATGTAAGATGATGCATATAAATATCTAGAAGAGTAGGAAATTAAAAAAATTCTCCATTGTGAACTGAATCCATCATTTGCCCAGGAGACATTATGCTTTTCCTGATCTTTTGGCATCTCTGATGTTAGCGTAGGAAGAGTTAGAATGCATGACAACTGAGGCTCTGAGAGTTGTGTAGACTGAGAGACAGTGGAGGTCAGAACCGGAACCAGAAGCAGCTTCAGGAATGGGTCAGAACATGGGAGTGTATGAAACTCTACAGTTAAAATGGTCATGCCTTACTGATTGATGGGATGGGGAGGGGAAGAAAGTTTTAAAAATGTAAAACCCTGAAATGTCCGGGTACCTGGGTGGCTCAGTCGTTAAGCATCTGCCTTCGGCTCAGGTCATGATACCAGGGTCCTGGAATCGAGCCCCGCATCAGGCTCCTTGCTCTGCGGAAGGCTGCTTCTCCCTTTCCCACTCCCCCTGCTTGTGTTCCCTCTCTCACTGTGTCTCT